ATATATATGTTGTTGTTGAGTGCTGTCAAGTTGGTTCCAACTCATAGTGACCTTGTATAGGGTCTCTGAGGAGAATTGGGTGAACTTGAACCACTGACTTTGTGGTTCAAACTGACCCTTGCAATCCAGTGCATTAATCTGCAGTGTCATACATGTATACAATAGAATAAAGGACATACACCTTTATTTCAATATATCCTTTATTCTTTTGTGTTTGCAAAATTAGAGAAATAAATTGGTTAAAATATTTCTCAAACTTCATGACAACTAAAGATACTTTGGACCCAAAATCACTTTTTGGCTCCTGTTCATCTAAGTCAGTTTTCACACATAGCATGGTCCTCTAATGGTACATTGCTTAAATGTTCAGCTGTAACATAGAAGTTTGAACACACCAGTTGCCCTGTTGAAGAAAAGACCTGGCCATCTATTCCTGTAAAGATTTCAGCACAGGAAGCCTTATTGGCAGTTATATTCTGTCCTATAGAGTTGCTACAAGTTGATCAATTTCTTTGGGGATGCAAAAGTTTTTAAAGAACTACAATCCAATGGTGTTAGACTCTTAATTAAGTATGGTTTTTGCTGTGGGATTTTTTGTGGGTCCTCTATTAGATTCCACTACTCACATGTCAGTTTATTTACTATGGTGTTTGTGAGTTGTTATTCTGCTGGAAGCGATACTAATGACATTTTAAATAACAGCAGTCACCCAAGGTGGACAGGTTGCAGCAGAGGATCCAGACTAAGACAGACTAGAAAGAAGGAGAGGTGGACTATTTCTAAATGGTTAGCCTTTGAAAATCTTATGAATGGCAGAAGAATTGATATAGTTCTGCTATATAGTTGTCTGATATAGTGCTGGAAGACTAAACCCTCAGATTATTAGTTACTCAAAATATGTCAGGAGAAGAGTTACGCCCTCAGTGTATAGTTGGCCTTCTTGATGTGGATGCAACATAGATTTTGGGATCTACACTTACTGGCTCGCTATGAGTTGGAACTGATCCAACAGCACTTAACAACAATAGGGCTAGCCAAGAATTAATCATAGTTCCAACCTTAACTTTTACTCCTTATTCTGATCCATCCCCACCTCAAAAACAAAACAAAACAAAACCCAGAAGATAGAAGGAATACACTGAGATACTGTATCAAAAGCAACTGGTCAATGTTCAATCATTTCAGGAGCCAACATATGATCAAAAACAGATGGAATTGAAGGAAGAATTCCAAGCTGCACTGAAAGCATTGGCAAAAAACAAAGATCCAGGAATTGACAGAATACACATTGAAATGTTTTAACAAACTGCTGCAGTGCTGGAAACCCTCCTTTGCCTAAGCCAAGAAATTTGGAAGACAGCTATTTGATCAATTGCAAGAGATCCATATTTGTGCCCATTCCAAAAAGAAAGGTTATCCAATGGAAGTTGGAAGTCATTGAACTACATCTTTAATATCATATGCAAGTTAAATTTTATTGAAGATAATTAAAAAATGGTTGCAGCAGTGCTTTGACAGGAGGTTACAAGAAATTCAAGACAGATTCCAAAGACAGCATGGAATAAGGGATATCTCTACTGACATGAGATGGGACTTGGCTGAAAACAGAGAATATTAGAATGCTATTTATTTATGTTTTACTGACTCTGCAAAGACATTCAACTGCATGGGTCATACCCAATTACTGGTAACATTGAGAAGAATGAGAACTCCAGAACACTTAATTGTGGTCATGAGGAACCTGTGCATACAAAGTGAAACATACATGTAAGTAAGAGTGAAAAGAGAGAACCAGAGATACCTAGAGTCAACTGTTAAAACACAACAAGAGGATACTGAAGAGTTTCAAATCAATGCAAAGAGTAAAAATCCTCACAACTGGATCAATAAATAACATCATGATAGATGGAGAAATGATTGAAGTGGTCAAAGTTATCAATTGGATCCGCAATCAACCCTCATGGAAGCAGAAGTTAAAACATCAAACGAAGGACTTCCAGGGCAAGATGGCAGAGTAGGCATATGTGCTGAGCAGACCCTCTGCAACAAGCAGATGGGAAACAGATGGTGATTATAGAACCCTGAGCTTCAAAAGATAGTACAGAGAGTGGATTGCGTGCTGACAGGAAGAGGAAACTAAACAGGCAG